CCTGAGGAGCGGGGCTCTAAACAGCCAGTGCCGGAAGTGATCTGCCGGCCTCCGCCCCGCCCCTCCCGGCTTCTCGGGAGTCGCACATCGCCACCTGCGCTAGGAGGACCGAACTGCGGACGAGGTCCTTGCCTCCTCCTGCTTGCTACCCCTCGACTTTGGAAAAGGATCAGGAGGGACGTTGGCTTTGAAAGGGATTTTTCAGGAGCCGAATCTTATTCAGAATCAAGGAAATTGTACCATTCCCTCTCCAAACTCAAATACTGGGGTGTGTATGCCGGGAAGGGAGTGGAGGCTTATCTGGAATTAACGTTTCTCCAGGGCATAATCAGCAAATTACTCCACTTTGTGTACGCACAGCCCAACAAGCAGGATCTGGCACAGAGTGGATCTCAGTACTTATTTGTTGACTAGCTCACTGTGGTTAAGGTGGAGCGGAAGAACCTGAACTTTGGCACAAGAACAGAAAAATTTCATGTGCGGACCTCAGGAAGGAGGAGTTAGCACAGAGTTATGATGGAGCAGACCCTCCAAAGCATCTAGAAGTGAGATTCTCAGTCCTTAGGTCCAGAAACAGCATATCTCTTGATCCAGTTACCCAGAGGTAACTTGTCTCTTCATGGTTTGAGAAAACCCACATGCAAATGGGGAGTTTATTCTGAGAAGCATTAACTTCTAATAGGCCATTGAGGCAAGCTGTCTTCCAAAATGAACAGAGATTAATAAAATTTTCCTTGTCACAGCCACGTGCTAGTTGCCTCCTTATGCCCCTCAGCCCCTCAGCAATAGCCCACTTCCAGGTTCCTTCTGTGGATAGCTGCTCACCATCTTTGGTTTTTCCTAGTTTGATGGCCTGATTCTAAAACCCTAGGGGTACTGATGGGGTTGGAAGGTAGGGCAGGCTCCTGAAGCCTCTCCCACTTCCTTTCCATACATGCCTTCAGACTATAAGCCTTCACAAGAGCAAAGCCCTGTCTCCACCCCTCCAAGCTGGAACAGCATAGAATGGGCACACAGTGTTTGGGATGGTTTGAAGTTTAGAGCCAAGGGTACTGGCTCAGGGAGGCTACCTGGAGCTGTACTTCCTCCCCCCACCAACTGGGGGTCTGGCACACTTCTCTGCTGGCCAAAAGCTAGCTTGCTCTGTCTCCTCACTCTTCATACCCTGTCACCAGCTTCCCCCATCCCCCACTGCCTAAAATTTACCAGCCTTTCCAACTGTGAGCCAAGGCATCATCCTGTTCTCCTCATCTGCACTCAGTGCCCTCCCAGTGTCTCTGACTCAGGTCCCCCTTGCATCCCACAGCCACTATCCTAGATCAGGCCACCTGCCCCTAGGTTGTCAGAGTGACTTTCCTACCATGCACAGTGAATCACATTGTTTCTAGGTATGAAACTGACTCTACAGTTCACAAAACTGACCCATCTCCTTATCTATGATCTTGCCCCAGTCCTTCCTGGGCTGACATTGCTCATGGGTCCCCTCTTAAATCCTGTTTCAAACCTTCATGCCTTTGCACGCACTATTCTCTCTGTTTAAAGTGTCTTCCCAATATTTGAGTCCCTGGTAAATTCCCACTGTTCCAAGTCCCAGCTGAGGAACCTCCTTTCCAGCCAGTCTCAATGCTGTGTGAAAATCTTTTTGGAGCCTGTCCTTCCACTGGATCTGGGATTCTTCCAAAGCAAGGGCCACGTCACTCATCTCTATGCCCTAGGCTCCCAGCTGGGGGCTGGCACAAAGCTGTGCCATGTGAGCTGATGAATGGCCCAAAGCCCAGGGCGGGGCTGCCCCCCTCGTGTCAGCTCAGACACTTTGCTGTTACCCCAGGTCAGCTGTGCTCTACTGTCCTCCCTCTCCCTCCAACCCGCCATGGGCGTGTCTTCCAAACCCACAGTTTGGCCTCTCCGCTCCTAGAACCGCCCCCAGTTACTGTTTCACTTCCTTTCCAGTCGCTCGCCCAGAACCGGCTCCTCCCCTTTCGGATAGCTCCGGAAATTCAGCGCTCTCGCGCGTGAGTCTCATCAAGCTTCTCCCGCCCCCAAGATCAAAACTGAGAATCGAAACTGCACTGGGTTCCATGCAGCCTGAGCCTGCACCCGCCAGATCTTCGGGGACCCAACAGGACTCCGCACTGCCCGACATGTCCACCATGCCTCCCCCGGAGTCTCCCTCCGAAAGCCAGCAGCCCAGTCCGGACCACAGCCCCACAGAGGTACTACTGGGTTTGGGGAGATGGGGTTTAGGCTTTGTGAATTTGCTGTGATGGGAGGAGAGGTGAGAAGGGAGAGGGAACTTGGTCAGGTACACAGAAGGAAAAGACCAGACCCTCTTGGCTCGAGTAGGAGTAGAGGAGAGGAGAGATGAAAAAAGATCACCAGGAGGAGTTAAGGGAGCCTCTCTGTGCTGCTATTCTCCACTGAACGAACAGTGGCACCTCGGACCGGACTCTCCTACCTGCGCTGGCGATATGCCTCTTTGCCCCCGCTCTGAGGAGGCCCCAGAGTAATAGCCCAATTGCCCGCGCCTGGAGCATGCTTCTTGCGGGTGGTGGAGTGTGGGGGGGAGAGG